ATAAAGTTTTTCTTTAGGAATTTCATGATACTTTCCAAAATGTTACCAGGCTCTGTTGACTCCAAAGTTCTCTGGCGAAGCTGTCATTCACCCCATGAAGCCTGCAGCACACATGACATGTAGATCTCTGTTGCCCTTCAGGTCCTTTACAGTATCTCTCTTAAAACTTTGGCTCTGTATTGTCTAAGCTATGGTTAAAAATCTCAGTAATTGACCCACTAAATAGTCTATAAGTGCTAATGCTTTGATTTGTGGTCATTTAATAGAATTTAACCCTTTATTGCATACTATATAACTTAAAAAAATTTTGTTGTTGTTTATTCTCTGTCTCTTCTTCTTAGAGTGTAAGTTCCATGAAGGAAAGGATCCTAGTCTGTGTTCTTCAAAGATATATACCAAGTATCTTGGATAGTGCTTGGCACATAATAAGTGCTCAATTAATATTTGTGCCAAGAATTCATGGGGGAGAAAGCTACCCATGATGTCATCTCTGTTCTTTCAGACAGGATTACTTAGCACAATAATCTTTCTTGAGTGCCTAATGTGTTCCAGACGTTGTTTTAAGTGCCTTATATGGATTATCTAATTTGTTCTTCAAATGAACCCTTTAAAGATGCTACTAATATTATTCCCATTTTACAGATAGGAAAACTAGAGTTTATAGAGCTGAAGGATCTTGCTCAAGGTAATACTGAGAGCAAATGGTAGAGCTTCAACAAGCTCAGGCAGTTTGATCCCATGGTTCACATTCTAATCTACTGTAGCATAGATTTTAAAGGTAGTTTCAGTTTTGTCTAAACCAAAGAGTATTTCAAATGTTGGAAAATTCATGCTAAACAGAAAGGAGATTGACACATGGTAGGGCAGAAAATTCTTATATTATGTCCCCTCACATGTTCAACCAAGGCAAGTCCTTCTAAAGAGACTCTACAACCTGGCTTACCATGGGAGTTGCCTTTATTGTCGGTGATAGAATCTGAGCCTTTTCTGATTATTTTTAATTCTCAATAGTTTTCTCTCCTTACTTTTTCCAACCAAGTCTCTTGACTAGAGTTTGAGTAGATAAGCCCTTTGGAGAGGATATGTGATCAGTCTTGTACTTTACCAGGGCCAGTTGGGTGATAAACTAAGAGGGGGAGGCTGGCACACCAGTGACATAGCCATGCCTCGTCCAGGAGGGCAGTATTTGGAGCAGAGATAGTCTAGAAGAGAGGGATGAGGGCATAGAATTTGCCAACTATTTGGAGACGGAATAAAAGAGAGAGGGAGGCCTCAAATATGAGGGAAAGTTTCAGAGCATGTGTGACAGGAAAAAATGGTGGTGACATTAACAGAGGAACAGGGTGGAAATAATATGTTTCATTATGATATTTTCCTGAAATGCTGAGTCAAATTTGCTACCTGTGAGGTTTGAATAAAGACATTTTCTGATATACAAAGTCTAAAAATGTAGCTCCCATGCAACTTTTGACAGAAAACTTCTGACCATTGTGCTCTGCCCAAATTAGGGAATGGTCTACAAAAAGAAATATGGGATCTAAGAAAGAGGGCATACAACACAGAAAAGAGGCAAAATGAATCCCCAGGGTGATCCAAAAGGTGATTCCAGAATGGCAGCTGTGTGGTAGGCCAACACAGCCTGAATTGGAGCAGCGCAGAAGGCTCCAGGAGAGATTTTTTTTTTCAATAGGGTCAACTTGATGAAATATCAGATGTATTTGTCTATTTTCAGAGGTGATTTATTCAACAAGAAGAGAGCTAATTAATGGAATTATTGATTAATGCATGGAAATTTGGAAATTAAAACAATGAATCTAGAGTAAACAAAAAATTATACAAGTAAGGAAAATTAATCAGTACAGTGCATGGTTCTCCTGGAAATAGATTTATATAGTATTATTTTTGTAAGCTTTAAATAGGAATCTAACACAAGTTTATTCTACGGAGAAAATGAGAGGAGGAAAGAAGGAGGATGAAATGTGTCGAAGTCTGGGTAAGAAAGAGCTAAATCTTCATTGTCTTTACCAAGAACTCAAAAGTGACTAAAAAAAAAAAAAGAATCATCATAAATAATTTAAAGAAATAGAGGTGAGGCAAAAGAATCATCTAAAAGAGTTAAAAGTATTTGCTTCTGGGTAAAATGGAAGGTGTGTATGTTGCGGAGGGGTGATGACAGTCTACTTAAAAAAAACTTGTACAATTGTAGAATAAAAAACCTTGTAGAAGTGTAGAATCTGTAAAATATTTGTATATGTAACTTTGATAAAAAATAAAAACTGGACTTTGAAAAAAGACAGAAAAGAAGGGATTAGTCTTAGCAAGATGGATGGATGAATGTTTATAATTAAGGACCAAGAGAATGCAGATGAAGGAGGTAGAAATTAGGAAACTCTAAGGAATTTTATTTCAGGTTATCTCTTATATTACCAAAAGAGAATAAGCTAATGTCTTCTGCTGAAAGTAAAAGCACTTAAGTATAGAAAATGGGGGGATGCTGTCTGAGAGGGAAGAGGACATGAATTGAAAGGATTCCCAAGCATCAGCAGAATCAAACTAACATTAGACAACCTGAATTTATAGGGTACTTTGTCAGTGAAAGTTCGTGGTTTTCTGTAGTAACTGCAGTCTTTGAATGGAATAGCCAATAGTGAAGTTGGAGGCTTATTAAGAGTTGGGAAATTGTGAAGATGAACTAAAGGAAAGAAGACATTTTAGATTCCCAGCCTCTTAGTAACTAGAAAGGCAAATGGAGCCAAGTTTCGGGAACATCAGGGAAATTAGGAGAAATCAAGAGGTTGGAGGTTATAATTAGAAAAACGAAGAGAATGAGAGAATAGGATGGGAGATCAATGTCAAAGATGAGAATTGCAGCACTTTAGACTGTAGGGTAGAACTTCTTCAAGCAACAGTGAGGTAGGTGAGCCCCAAATAGGCAGCCATCATGAAACAGATCAACAGCAACAGGTAACACTGACGCAGCCACAGGGTGTCTGCATCCCTGAGGCAAGAACTGAATCACATTGGCCTGAGGTGCAAATGGAGATGGAAAACCAACCAGTGAGCCACAGTACTTATGGTCCTTTCAAGAGCACAACCCCAAAAGTGTTCTCTAGAATTTGGTGCAGGCAAGTCATTCCAGTCAACTCAGCAGCCCTGGAAATTGCCCTCAAGCTGTAGTCTTATGAGTGCATTACTTCACTGCAAGCAGTTAATTAATCAAAGCATGTAGCTTCTGAAATATGCAGATAAATTAGGAAGGAAAATTGAAACTTTGTTATGTGATTTTTCTTAATGATTAGAGTGTGTTCTAAATAAACAGAAAAACAAATTGATTCCCAAAAACCATGTTAATGTGCTTTTAATTCACAAGGGTTAAGCACATAAAAGTCAGGATATTGAAAGTTACGGTTCTCATAGAAACATTAATTTGACAACATTATGCATACAAGGTGTAGGAGGTTTATATTTTATAAATGAAAGCAGTAGGGAATATTGTAAAATATGGCTCAATTAAACAAAATAAAGTAACAAATTCAGGGGAAAGACATTAAACATAATTATTGAAAAAAATTGTTTTGAAACCCCCAAAGAAGGATTATAAATTTTAATTTTAGAAAATAATGCCTTCAAATCTTAAAAAAAAGTTTTCAATGGAAATTAATCATTTTTACCAAAATCAATCTTCCTAGCACATTGTATTCTGTTATTAGTTTGTGCCTCTCAGTTGTAGTCCAGATTTGATCCTAGTAGACTGAAACGGGAACTGACTGGCTATTTCATGACCTAGTTGATAAAGATTTTGGAGATGGGAAATAAATTTAAGGGTTTGAAATACTCTTTATTTAGTATATAGAGAACATGGAGGATATTTTGCATATGAAGAAACCCACCAATGTACTATTACTTTGCTTAAATATTTGCTTTCTGCATACTTCTGCATACTATTTGCATGTATGCATTATGGAAATTCCAATCTGACCATGCAAAATGTCTTATGTAGGTGGCATAGGAAAAAAAATAAAGAAGAAGAAGATACTTATGACATGTTCAGGGAAATAAGTGTTCCAGAAAGCAAACTCACAGCCTTCAATGTGTCTCTGTTTTGGTTCCCATCTCATAAATTGGAAGACAGATCTGGGAGCCTGAGTTCTCCAGTGGAGCTGTATTGAGCCATAGGCTACTGTTCCTGTCACTCTGGCCACAGAAGCTGTTCACGTTATAGGTGATGCAGGAAATGAGAGTGGGTGGACCCATGCAGTAACCTCTCCGAGTGTGTCACCTCCCAATTCAGTCAGAATTAAAGGCAATAATGAAGGAAAGAAGGAAGAAAGGGAGGAAGGGAAGGAGGAAGACAAGACGGAAAGAAGGAAATTATATTACTATCATTATAACACTAATTCAATTATAATTATTACTCAATTCTAAGTATTATTTACTTATTTAATTTTAAGTAATAATTGGAGGTTTTCTGATCCTTTAAATCCAATGTAAGCTATATTAGTTGGTGCAAAATTAACAAATGGCATCAGCCCACTACCCCCTAAGGAGCAGTCATGAAAATATGAAGATAAACAGACATTTTGCTAACATTTCTATTTTCCATTGTATTTTATGTCACAGCAAAGCAGTATGCAGAACAACAGAGGTCCATTCATGGAAGTGAGATATGTAAATTCCTGAGCTAGCAGACTCCTGGCCCAATAGTCAAGCCACCTCTTCAAAAAGAGCATAATGGTCTGCATTTTTCACTGAAAAATCGATGCAGCCACATTCCATGGCAATGAACTCTTTATAAGCTTGATGAAGAAAAATGCTTTGTATATGTACTTTAATCTTTACCCCCTGCTATTTTCTGTTTCCAAACAAACAGAAGTACAAATGCAAGCTGCCAACTCTTAGGATGTACAAACAAGTGTTACTGAATATTCAGAAGTATGGTGGTATTTCTAAAGTTCAGCAACAAATCAGTCTTTCTTTTGTTTTTAATTTTCCTTATTCAGGCACCACAAGGCCACATAAGGAGGGTGAGGTCCCTGGAGTGGACTATATTTTCATCACTGTTGAAGATTTTATGGAATTGGAGAAAAGTGGTGCTCTTTTAGAAAGTGGGACTTATGAAGGTAAGTACAGCTCTACTGCCGAATTCATTTCTCATTGCATCGCTTTTCTCTCCTTCAGTTGAAATGCATTAGGACACTGGGTTACCAATGTGCTATTGTTTTGGTTTGAGAGCTTCAGTAAGGTCACTTTAGAAGTGTATTTCCTAAAGAAAAGTAAAAATACATCTGGGTTAATGTGACTTTTAAGATGCCAAGAGAAATATTTATGTATATATCCACTGAAGTGTCCTTGTGATTGCCTCCTGAGGCTAAGCTGTGATCTTCCAGAGTGATTATCTTCATCTCTAGTAGCATCAAAAGAGCACATGTCTTGACTTCCAGTCCTGTCATTACCTCTGTGTGGTTTTCTGCAGTTACTTCACCTCACTTGTCTTCATTTGCCTCTTATGCAAAATGATGGTGTAGGAAAACACTGATCCACGGATCAACTCCAAAGCTCTACAGTGTCTCCTTGTATACCTGCATAAAGTATGAACAGAGGAAACTAAAACCTTGAATGTGGGAAGTATGTTTCAGTGGAAAGAGCCCTGTAACATAAGCTAGAACCTGCCTCAATTCCAAACCTGACTTTACTACTTACTCAGTATAAATATTAAGTAATCCAGTTAGTAGCTCTGAACTTCAATAGTCTTATGTGTAAAAGGAGAATGATAGCATTGAAAAATACAAATTAATAACAACATGATTCCATTTATATGTTTAAGTAACATCTACATGCATGTAGTTTTTGTATAAAAGGAGAATGATAGCATTGAAAAACACACATAACATGATTTCACTTATGTTTAAGTAATATCTACATGCATGTAGTTTTTGTCTAGTAAAATTATATATCTGTGTATATATAATGAAATTTTAAAACAACATAACTACAAACAGTAGAAAATAATACTTTTATTCCTACTTCACAGTCATTATATGTGTAAACTATATTTATATGTATTAAGTCCAAAGATGAATCAAATTTTACTCGACTACAATTAATAGTGAGTGATAGTAAAGATAAAACTCATAATATATGCATTGCTGCTTAGTGCATTAAATATCAGAGGTCTGTGATCATCAACTGAACTAGGTTTGTTTGCAGTTTGGACCTTCACTTCCTCCTTCATATACTTGTAGATGTCCAGCAGACTATAGTTATTTAAAAACTCAGTATTTTTGAGTTGTAGGAAAAATCTCTTCTTCTACTTTACAATTCAATGACAGTTTAAGCCAAGACATATGACTAAGTTATGGCTCTAGACATTTTTTTAAGTTTAGTGCCAACTTGTTAATCACCCCAGCACACTTAGAGCTGTTCATTGAATAATAAGGCTGATTTACATATATGACTCTGGGAATCAACACTATTGTTTACAGGTACACATTGCGCAGTTTGATAAGTAAGAAACTCTTTTCTCAGGTCACATAACCATCTTAGCGGGACACCTAAGGAGCATTCTTGAATCTTAGGATCTTCAGATTTTCCTACAATTATAGTTGAGAAATGAGTAGAATTGTCACTCTAATAAAATCATTGCTATTCCTTCAGGATTGATCACAAGCTTTAGACTCAGGGCTTCCTGAGTTATTTGTGTTTATAATGTGTTATTCATCAAGGAAACGTACAGAATGCCTTTTCTACTGTTGGAGCTTTCAGAATATACAGAGTAACAATCATGTGCTACTCAACTAGACAAAGAAAGACCTGAGAGCTTTTATATTTGTAAGAATTTCATGATATCAGTCTATCATAAAGTTTCTTTAATAAAATCCCCATTTCTCTATGTTATTTATTACCCTTATGCAGTGTTTGAGCCATTGCTCTCCTTCCTCTTCATTGCTAGAACATTCTCATATCACCTCAGTACTCTTTAGAGCTTTTAGCCAGACTAGAAAACCCATCTCTGATATCTGTGAAGTCACTAAATAAATTAAAAAAAATTGAGTTCCTCTCAGCATTAAGGTCATGGACCAGTAACCTTGTGGAGTCCTTATGACTGACTCCAACCTAAAAATCAGAACAGCAAGGCTGCTAATGCAACTGGAGTTAGGGAGATAGCCCCTGCTTCTGCTTGCCTGTAAATATTTCCCAACTTGGTACGTTTCTTGTCAGATATGGGGAACCCGTGTATTATTTATTAGCAAAGATCAAAGAAATCCTCTATAAAACGTCTAGTTAAGCTGCTCATCATTGAGAAAACTGTTCTTCACCACCCACCTTCAGAACAGGAGACACACACCTGAAAAGTAGTTATGGGGAAGAATATACTCTTTCAAACATTTCTTGTATGTATACACTTTTTCCTCATTGTCAATAATTGTGCTTTTAATTTTGGTGAATAGATGTAGCTAAAATGGAATTTGTCCTTTGATTGGAAATGAGATAGACTGTCTTGAATTGCAATTCTGCCTCTTAGAAATTGGCTCAAAGTCCTTGCTCCAGAAGAAAAATTCTGTTATCACCAGAGGCTGCATGGAAGGCCTTAGTGTGCTTGAGTTACCACCTACAGTTAGTTAGGCCACATGGACCTAGGCAGACTTTGAGCAGATTCTTAAAGGCTTTTTCTGCATCTCCAACCCCCTACCCAGTATGAGCACCTCATTTCTGTTTGCTGTATAACAGCTGCTGAATGGTCTTGAATGTAAATGGCCCAGAGGACTTGGCTTTAAGTAACCTCAAGTAACAGGAAAAACTCCATGAACCTTCATGTTAGAACTGAATGTATAGTTTTCATGTGAAAAATAGACCACAGAGCTCTCTGGATAGATGCCGATAATTCTTTTGAGGTTAAAAGTCACATGCAGGTGTAGATGAGACACAAAGATGTACAATTAAATAAGTAGATTTGAGAAGCTAAAGGTTAAGTACTGTATTTAAGTACCTGGAAGGAACTGCCCTTGGGAACTGTCCAGAGTGCTGAATCATCCAGGTCTCTTAATCAGTGGCTCCTGCCTGACCTACTTCTTCCAGTTGTCCGGAATGTTGTATTCATATTTTCACTGACCATTCACACTAGTTGTCTGCCTCAACCTATGTTCTGAATGTACTCATCAACTAAACCCACGTCCCCTGAGCTGCGCCTGGACTCTGATTTTATTTAATTCATCTCCTGAGATCATCTATGGTCAAGTTTCAGAGCAGCAGTTCTGCTGTGACCTTTGGTATTGTATTTTGCTGTTCTGCTTTTAAACTGAAACAAAGCTATTTTTCTATCTATTGAAGAAATCATTGATCTTAGCTTTGAATGTTTTCTTTAAATTGACATGAGCTCAATTATATTAAAAATTAAATAATGTAAATACCAAATTAAAACAAGCAAATTATTAGGGCATCTAATAGAATATAATTCAGATATGGCACTCAACTTCACCTTAATGCTATGGTTCCTCCTAATCATGGATCCTAATGTATATGGACTTGAGCCAACTGCAAACAACACACCTAGTTTCTTTAAAAAAAATTATTATAAAGATTTTGAAATTGAAGTATTTTCATATCTGTACATAAATTAGTGCTGTTCTTCCTGAGGTAGTACATAAAAACCTCTAAAAATTTAAGTATTTAAGACAAATAATTTTCTAAGAAAATAAGCCAGTCTCTCCTATGATAAGAGAAGATAAACAAATTTTGCATAAATCCATTTAATTTTACTGACTAAAGTCAACATCTGCTTTTTTTTAAAAAAAATGACCATGGTGCATTTATTACTAAAATTTTGAATCTCTTTTTCCAATCAAGATAGCATTGGTGACAAAGAGATACTTTCAATGCAAAGAAAAATCATTATTGGCACTGTAAATAGTCTTTAGAAAAACCATTTTCTGTCAGTCCAAGTTTCAACTCACAGATTATTGTTACACTAAAATGTAAAGAATATTTCCTGAAGGGCAGATCAGTGCTTAAATTGATGCTAAGATTGTGGTCATTCCAGGAGACCAAAATGAGATAAAATTTCAATTTTTTTCTTTTTCCCTTATATTCTATTCTAAGATAAATTTTCTACTATGTGAGTAATAACCCCTATAATAGCGGTAGATTCTTAGGACTTGCTGTTAAAGGGGTCCAGCTGTTACTGCATATACAGACTTTAAAATTTTTTTTTCTTTGGATATTTGCTTCTTTTTCTTTCTTTTGGCAATTTTCCTATTGTGGAAGATTCTAAGCCATGCACTTGGGTGTTCATTTTAGGAACACTAAACATTTATACATAAAGCTCACTAAATGTTTATTTGAACAGTAGAAGAAGAACACTTTTGGTGAAGTTTTACACCCCTTTGAGATCTTATAATGCCAGAGTTTTTTTGTAAGTGATTCAATTTGTGTTCAGAGCTATTGACAGTATGAGTTTTGCATGCTGCTTTGCTCCTGTGTAAGGCACTAAGACTGGAAGTGTTATTGTGCGTTGAAATGTGACAGAATTCCCTTTTGGTTTGGGACTTTTATAAATCCAGCCTCTTCCAAAATATGTAATTCAAATGCATATTTCTAAGGACTCTTTTCTCCCAAAAGAGACTAGAAAGTACAAACCAAGTGATTAATTAACTAATTTAATATTACCGTATAAATTAGGACTTAAAAATTAAAGTCAAGGAGAGTGAAATGACTTGTTTGGTATTACCTAAGGTACAATATTAACCAGTTTACTGTTAGTTCTATACGTATTTGTTCAGTGCAGGTGAAAAGAACAGGACCACCCTTTGTTGGAGTATGTCATTAAAGACAATATTCATGGGCGCAAGACTGACTTCTTCAACTCCCTTACAACCTGTAATAATAGTAGATAAAGCTGAGTGTTTCAAAACTGTGATATTCAGGATTCACTTAGTTTCCCTCAAGCATATGTCTTTGATCACAATGATTTTCTAATTCCTGTACACATTCCTAATAACTTTTTATCTGAAACAGACTTCACATGATATAAATATCATGCTCCTCATTTAGTGGGAAGAAAAAAATTCATGACTTTAAAAATTTTATTTATATTTCTCTCCACTACTTCCACAAGCAGAATCTA